TTAGAGTTGTGCTATGAATATTTTAGAACATTTTCACCACTTCCCACAGTTACTCACTTCTACCTTTTGATCTAGGCAACCACTGCTTTGTTTTCTGTATCTGAATTTGCCTTTTCTAAACATTTCATATACATGGAATCATATAATATGTAGTATTTTCCATCTGACTTCTTTCACCTAGCATGTTTGAGGCTCATTCATGTTGTAATATGTATTAGTAGTTTGTTCCTTTTTATTGTCTGATAGTATTCCATTATGAGGTTATACCACACTTTGTTTATGCATTTAGCATTTAGCAGTTGATGGAAGTTTGGACTGTTTCCATCTTGGGGATATTATGAATAGAGCTGCTGTGAACATTTGTAGATAGGTCTTTGTGTGGATACATGTTTTCATTTCTCTTGTTTAGGTTCCTATATAGAGGACATTTTGGATCCTATGGTGAGTTTATATGTAACTTTAGGAAATTGGCAAATTGTTCCCCAAAGTGACTGCATCATCTTATAGTCCCATCAGCAATGTATGAAGGTTCTAGTTTCTCTGTGTGTTCACCAACACTTCGTATGGTCTGTCTTTTTAATTTTGGCCATTCTAATGGCTATGGAGCAGTATCTCATTGTAGTTTGAGTTTGTATTTTCATAATGACACATGATATTTATAATCTTTTTCATAAAGCACAGTGATCTTTTAGAAACACAGGGACAATGAATAGAGGTAAGAATTGAGGTGGGCTGTAAGAAAGAGGAGAGCCTGCACTACATGATGTATATGGAGAGAGAGAGAGAAAGATTTTAAAGATACGTATATCAGATTTAGAACAGGCAGCATTTAATAACTGCCTAAATATACTATATAAAGCTGAGGGGGTAGAGTTTATGATCCCAAGATTTCAAACTTTGGCAGTTGGGTAGATTGTGCTACTGTTAGCCCAAAAAGTGAATTACAGGTATATAAACAATTTTTGTGCTAGTAGGTGATGGCTTTTATATTGATACTGTTGTCTTGATGTACCACTGTAATATTTAACAGAGGTATTTGGTAGTTTGAAAGCATATATCTACTTCAAAAGAATATCTGGGCTGAGGTAAAAATTTAGGGGAGTTAATATTGTGTAGATAACAGTTGAATTCATGGAAATAAATGGTGTGTCTGTTCTTAAATCACTGTATCTTCTGGGTTACTTTTGGCAACTGAAAATTGCTTAAACAAAAAGATAATTTAATATAATAAAAAGATGCAAGTTAAGATGGTTCTAGAATTAATTCATTTAGGCATAATAGTATCACCAAGGACCCAGGCTCCTTGCATCTTTTAATGCTGCTGCCAAATCTTTGGGTTGTCCTTGTGGTCCTGTGCTACCACAGTTCTGGTTGACACATTTCAAACACAGAATTGTATGCAAAAAAGGGAGGGGGAGTTAAGATGTTTTCACCTGGGTGTCTTTTTTTATTAGCCAGGAAAACTTTTCCCGGAAGTTCCCTCTTCTCTCTTGTCTTATTGACCAGAATTGGATTAAATCCTTGTTGCCAAACTACCCACAGGCAAAGGGAATAGAAATTGCCATAGTTGGTTTAGATCAGAGATGTCTAGCCCAAGTATTAGTATCTTTTTCTCATATTTCATGGAAGAAGCCTTTTCCCCCTCTCCTTTTGGTTCTTTTTTGTTGTTCAGACAGGTTGGATTTTCTAGACAATTCAGTTTCAAATCACTGAGTTGTTCCTGTTCAATACTTCAGATCAGGCTAATATTTGCTAAAATCCTACTGTGTCATTAACTGTAGATTCTAGGATACAGAAATGAATAAGAAACATACAGTTTGATTTAGAAATAAACTTAAGCAGAAGAGTGCTATGATAGAATTGTACACTTAAGTTTATTTGTATTATGGATTTAATATGACTGTTTATATGTTTGGTATTATGAGAAAACTTATCTTGAGTTTCAAAATCAATCTTATATTCAATTTATAAATGAACTTTTGGAACTGTAGAATACAAGCCATTCATGAGTTGACCCTCCTTTTCTGTGTTATGTGGTCATATGTTTCATTATAGAAATACATGATGAATTAGCCTAAATTATACTGTGCATTTGAGTTATTTTTAAATAAACTGTATTATGTCTTTATAGAGCATACTGTTTGTTTTCTAGTTAATGTACTGAAGGTTTTAACAGTAGTACCTTTATTTTAAGATCCCAACTGAAATGTTTGTAAAGTGTAGAATATTTTGTAATTTGATTTTTAAATAATGGTTATGTGAATGCAGATGGAGGTTTATAGCAATGTTTGTATAGTATATGAGGTGCTTTTCATGGGTGCTGAGAGGAAAGGAGAAATGAAGATAGTGAAGAGAGGATTTGGAGTGGTAGAAGAACAAAATGTGCAATCAATGTTGCTGATTCTTCAGAATACTAAGAATTCCACTACGTTTTGATATGTGGTACAAACTCTAATCTTAAATTTTGTCTTAGATGGAGTATATTTATCAAAAGCATATTCATGTTATTCTTTCCTATAAAGCAAATCTTACTAACACAGAAATCAATGGGTAATATTCTATAACACCTCAGAGACCAAGATAACTAGTATAATATCCATAATCAGTGTGTATCCCTGAAGGGCTCTGTATGATTAGTGATCTTTTAATACATTGATGGTTTAAGATTTAACCATTTTAATAATTTTGAAAACCAAGAAGGATATGTACATTTTGATGGCAGAAAAAGATATTTTTAAAGAAAATGTGAAATTAAAATGATTTTTTGCATTTGTTTGCAAATAGTTATTGAGGAAATTTTAATGTTAGCTCTGAATTATAAAATGTTAGAATATATTTAGAAAGGTTTGATCTTCATTTATTCCAAGTCATTAGGAAGCTCCGATGTGTTTCTCTTAGTTTCTACAACTAATAAGCTTGAAAATTTCAGAGACAAAATCTTTGGTGAAAAAATTATTATTTAGTGTTCAAGTTTAAGTAGCATGTCTTATAGTTGTTGAACACAAGTTTATAATGCTAAAAGCCTGTGGTAAATTACCTAGTACTGTATTGTGAAGTTCCTAACCTTTATTCACACAATTTTTACTGTGTATAATATAATGTAGTTTGCAGACCTATACATGAAGCACATCCTTTCCTTTGATTATCTTTTGTTTACCTCTGAGTAGTGAAATCAAATCTTAGTTGATCTTCCTCAGCCAGTCTTAAGTTTAATCTTTAGAAAGGTTTTCTGAAGTTTCTGTTTTGTTGAGTGTTTGTACTTGTGAGAAGACAGAGAGAGAATGGATGATCTGGGGTCTTGGACTTTGAAAATGAGATATTTGAAAGTTCTTTTGACTCAAGCGATCCTCCTGCCTCAGCCTCCCGAGTAGCTGGGACTACAGCCATGCACCACCGTGCTTGGCTAATTTTTTTCTATTATTAGTTGCTTAGCTAATTTCTTTCTATTTATAGTAGAGACAGGGTCTCGCTCTTACTCAGGCTGGTCTCGAACTTCTGAGCTCAAGCAGTCTTCCCGCCTCCCAGAGTGCTAGGATTACAGGCGTGAGCTACCGCGTCCAGCCTGGTTCATATATTTTTAAACAGAGACACTTTGATGGACTGCACTTTTTCAGGAATAGATTAATCTGAACTTTGTTTAATATTAATACAATGATTGCCTTCTGTCTGTCTGTCTCTCTCTCTTTTTCATACACTCCCTTACGGATGAATGGAGTAGTTGGCAAAGAATGGTTTTGGAGAAAAATCTTTATGCCATTTCTAAAATGGGAATACAATACCTTTCATTTTTGATTAGTATAAGGGAAATTCTTTAAGATTATGAACATCTCAGAAAAACATTAAAAACCAAGTCTCCATTCTTGCCCTCCCCCATTTCCCTGAGTGATAGTCTGAGAGTATTATAGTCATGGGCACTCTGAAAAATGGTAAGGATCTGGTTAAGTTGTGGGTAACTAGTGCATTGAGAAGACTGTTAAAGGCTCCTAAATGCAGACAAAGCATTACTAATTGCTTTCAGGGTCAGGCTGTCTTTAGTTGGACCATGAAAGATTTAGCATGGTCCTGTGGCCGCCTGTCTGCCTAGTGGAGACTCTTGTCTTTAAGAAAGACTGCTATCTGATATGCTAGACCGGTTCAGGTTGCCCCAGTTTACATGAATTGAGTCATTATTGCCAAGATTACTAAACCTCAGGGTGACACAAATGATACTTCTAAATGGACTTGAAGACAAAGGCATTTGACCTTGCAGTGGGACATAAGTAATGTACAGACAGCTAGCTCACTTTAAAATACGAAACAGAATACTTTGCTATTTCAAGTTTCAGTTACAAGATAAATGCAATAAAATTATTTTTGAGATCCTAAGCAAAACAGCACACAGATCTTTAAATAAATTAAATGTTTTAACGTTTCATCTTTTAGATGAAATTGTGAATATTTTCTCCTTAATCGGTAGGGTATTAATGGCAGTATTAGCATACAGTAGTTAAAACCTATCCCTGGACTTAGACCAACCAGTGCAATTAATTGTTTATCTTCACAAGTCTAGTGTTCTAAGTAGAAGTTCAGCTGAAATTAAAACTGGTTATGAGGCTTTGTGATAAAAAATGAAAAAAGAGATACTAGCTAGGTGGTCAAATATATTTTTGCCTAAATGGGAATCTGAATATTACAGAATTATAAATTTTAGTGCTGCTTCTACCTGGTTCTGTTTTTCCAAATTGAGATGAGATTTTTTTCCCCCCCTCAAAGCTTAAAGCTAACATAGATTTTATATGTAAGTACTTTTTCTACAGAACTAACTAAAAACTTCTTTGGGCAGAGGTTGGGGAAAATGGCAAAGTAATAGGTTTCTAAAAAACTGTAGAACTTTTCGTTGACTTTACTTTGAAAAATGTATAGTTTAACACATGAAAACATTTTTAGCATTGCTTCTACGTGTGTTATTCTGAAAAACAAAAGTTCTTCCAGTCTTAAATAAGTTCTTTTTTTCTAAACAGATTTATGAAAATATGCATCAGTTTAATACTGTCTTGGAATTCATGAGATGGAAGCATAGGTCAAAGCTGTTTGGAGAAAATTGGAAACACAGTTTTATCTAGCTGCATTTCTGAGGTAAGAAAAAGACTTTTCCTTTTAATAAAATAATCAATATGAAAATTCTCATTCTTAACAATTGAAAATTATCACTGCAGTATTATTTCAGCTTCTTTAGTTTCTTTATAATGCCACAAGTCTATATTAGTTTCTTTAATCACCTTCCTCATAAGTTCATAAGTAATTCTAATATATTTTCCTCTTCTTATAAATGTTGAACCTCTTCAGGAGTGAAAAATGTTTATTCTTACTAGTATCATTTTATTAACTGTACTTGTAGAAAATAAGCGTTAGTTTATTTACTTTTTTCTTCAAGATGGCAAAGCAGAGTTCAGAATGGTATACTATATTTAAAAAAATGAATGTTTATATTCTGAAAGTTTCACAAATTTTAGAACTCAGGATAAGATTTTTAACATGTCAGTATAATAGATCTTTAGAAATAGAATTTGATTTAAAGAAGTAGGAAATAGAATTTAAAGAAATAGGATCTGTAGTCATGCCAGAAACAAGACAAAAGAAGCCATTCTAAGACAATATGTACAGGGAAATCAAGCTCATTGGTGTAAAATCCATATAGAGACTGAAATTGTTAGGTAAAAGGTTTGAATTCTTCAGGAATCTATGTTTTAAAAAATAGATAGGGCAGACTGTTATGAAGCAGTCTCTACTTTCACTTCTGAAAGTGGTGGACTTTGTTGCTTCTGCTCACAGCTTTCACTCATCCTCCACTGCCCCTGCTAAACTGTATCCTCTGAAAAATACTCTGACTCTCTAATTCTTTATTAGTTTTCATATTCTTTTATTGCTGTAGTAATTGTCATATTTTCTTTCTTGAAATTTTCTTGGTTTCTATGACCCAGTGCTCTTCTAATTCAACTTCTTTAATTAGTTCTTCATAATGTTTTCCTTTCTCTTCTTTCTCTTAAATAATGACCTCAAGGTTTTTATCTTTGAAATTCTTCTGTTTTTTTTCTTTGTCTTTCCTAATCTCATGATTTCAACAATTACCTCTAAAATGATCTCTCTTAACTTTCCCTTTCTGGTGTGACATTTTCTCTAAGCTTCAGACCCATAATTCCAACTGTTTGCAGGATGGCTTAGTGTGTTAACACCTCAGGCTTCACATTGATTGTCTACCACTTAGTTCATCATGAGCTTCATTCCCAGTATCCCTCTTTTAGTGGAACTCTTTGTCACCCAGCTCAGAGTCTCAGTGTTGTATCTGATTCCTCATCTTTTGCTTCCTGCCCTCAGCCAGAGCTCCAGTCCTACTGGTTTTACCTCTATATTGTATCACAAATGTTCTCGTCATCTCCTTTTTTCTAATCCCCCTTTACCATCCAAGTAAGGACAAACTCCTCTAATATTAAAACCTCTCAAAAGTATAGCACTGAGTGAGTGGCACCTTTGCCTCCATTTGTCCATTATTTTCTTCCTTTAAACATGTATTAAACACCTGATCTATGCCAGGCACTGTGTTAAGTGTTGAGAAGATAAAATGGTCAGTAAATCAGGTTCCTTGCTTTACCCTCAAAAAATAGTCTGTTGAGGCCGGGCGCGGTGGCTCACGCCTGTAATCCTAGCTCTCTGGGAGGCCGAGGCGGGCGGATTGCTCAAGGTCAGGAGTTCAAAACCAGCCTGAGCAAGAGCGAGACCCCGTCTCTAAAAAAAAAAAAATAGTCTGTTGAGATGAGCATGTAAACAGTTATTCAAGTACAATTCGAAAAGTGCTATATTATAATTGAAAAAGTGTATTGGATCATTTCACACTGCACACATACATCATAACATCACTTTGTACTCCATAGTTATATGTGATTATAATTTTTCAAAAAATGTAAACAAGACATATGTAATCATGTCAAAAGAAAGTATTGGTATCACCTAGAAAAGCTAAGGAGCAAATTGTCAGGCAGAGTTCACATAAGAAATGATATTTGAACAGAGTCTTGAAGGATGAGTAGAAGACTGCTGAGTGGAAATTAGAAGGTATGATATTATAAAATATATATTTCATTAGTCAAATTGTATCCTGGCATACAACTAAAATCCTTGGAATCTCCAAAGTGATGTCTTTGTATATGCTAATGATTGACTGAAGGCTGGCAGCACCTAGATAGCTTCAGGATGGAGGCTGGTCACCAGAAAGACCAAGGCAGGCTTAGAAGGTTGGGATTTTCACTCCCACCCCCATCAGCCTTTAGGGAGGGGAAAAGAGCTCAAGATTAAGTTGATCAACAATTGCCAGTGGTTTATCCAATCATGCCCATACAATGAAGCTTCCATAAAAACAAAAAAAAACTGGGTTTGGAGAGCTTCAGGATAGCTGAACATGTGGAGGTTCCTAGAGGGTGGTATACCTAGGAAAGGCACCCCTTCCCCCTACTTTGCTCTATGCACCTCTTCATCTGTATCCTTTGTAAAGTCCTTTATGATAAATCAGCAAACCTGTTTCCCTGCCATGAGTGCTCTGGCAAGTTAATCGAGCCTGAGGAAGGGGCTGTGGGAACCCCAATTTATAGCTGGTTGGTCAAAAGCATGGGCAAAATAACCTGGGGCTTGGACTTAGCATTGGAAGTGGGGGACATTCTTGAGGACTGAGTCTTCAGCCTGTAGGGTCTGATTCTATTTCCAGGTAAATAGTGTTGGAATTGTGTTGGAGGACACCCTGGTGGTGTCTGATGCAGAATTGACTACTTGCTTGTTTGTCCTCACACATTGGGTTATATAAGTCTTCTGTGTTGATTGTTGTGGTGAGAAAGCAGAGGAAAAACAGTTCGAGTTTTTTCCACACTCACAGAAGGCAAGCGATTTAATTTGTTTTCTTTTTGGAGACAGAGCCTCACTCTGTGGCCCAGTCTAGGTACAGTGGCGTCATCATAGCTCACTGCAACCTCAAACTCCTGGACTCAAGCAGTCCATTTGCCTCAGCCTCCCAAATAGCTGGCACTATAATGACCAGGCTAATTTTTATACTTTTTGTTAGAGAAACGGTCTCCCTATGTTGCCCAGACTGGTGTCAAACTCCTGGCCTCAAGCAATCCTCCACCTTGGCCTACCAAAGTGTTAGGATTATAGGATGAGCCACTGTGCCTGGCTGAATTTTTAAAAATTTTAATAGTTGTATATTTATCTTGATATCTCCTGTTCATGACATGTAATCCTTTTCTATTTAAGTAATGGCAGTGTTTTCCCTTTTATAATTTTTATTTTGGACTATGATTCAAAAACTTGAGTTAATCATACCTTTAATTCACGACGGGAAAATTACTATCTTTGTTTTCTATAAGGCCCCTCAATTGTTATTTTGTAGTATCTCCTTTATTCTTGATCCTCCACTCTATTTTTCCTCTCGTGCCATAGGGAACCATTCTAATTTGTTTGCTATATTTCTTCGAATGAATGTATCCATATAAAACATAAATAGTGTTCTTGGTATGTGTGTTTAATTGACCCAACTAAGTTTTGCTACAAATACTTTGCCCTTTTAAAATTTTTCAACACTAAACAGAGCTCATGTTGCTGTGTGTACACTTGTTCATTGCTTCTAATTTAGGTTTAATGCCCCATAAGTACAGCACACATAACTACTTCAAAGGGGCAGTGTACTCTGTTTAAACAAAGTGCAGCATACTCTGCACAGGCAGTAGAGCCAGATTGCTCAGTGTGATCCTGACTTCACCACCTCATAAGTTTGGGTTCCCTTGAAAGTTCAGCCTAAGAAAAGGACTTACAGCTAGTGGTTTTCTGGGTGATGAACCAATAAAGCAGACGTGAGAGAATGGGAAAAGCGGACAGATAAGAGTGTAAAGTTACATAAAGTGTATTAATGAGGCAGTTGCCAGTATGGGCAACAGAACTGGGCTTCCGTTCCCCTAGTAACCCTCTGAACATACCTCACTGTTGTCCCACCAAAGGACAGGGAGCTTGAGACATTTATCCACTAACTTTCATCTTTTGTTAATTGAGAGTTGCTCCATGAGCTTTAACTCTAGCATGTCTGTGGTTATGCCTCCCTACTGCTGAACTGTCGTCTTTAGCTTTGAAGAAGTCTCTGAGGAGAAAAACAGAGTAGTGTGTGGGCTCATACTTGATGCCAGATGCTGTCAGACAGTGCCTGGAACTGTCCACCGTGGCTGCAGTGAGAAAGGTGGGCCGAGGGGATGTGTTGTACAGCTCTGCAAGTGTCTGCTAGAGTCGGGCCCTTGTATCACTAAGATTCCCTTATGCCCCGTCAAGTCCACTCTGTCACTGACCCTTCAGTGTGGTCGCTGGTTATGATCACTAATAGAAATATCTAAAACAAGAGGGTTAGTAGAATAATCTCTAATCCCTACTAGGGCAGCTGGTCCTGAGGCCGTAATTGATATTCAGCATGAGATGCTCTACAAGGGTGTACTCTGGGCAAAGAAGGCGAACCCACATCTGGAGTGTTAGTTCTGCACCTGTCTGTGTCATTGACATTCAGCAGTGGCAGTAATTAGATAACCCTTCATAAGAAGGCGCCCAGGTAGTTGTGCCCATATAACGCCTTCCTCTGTTGCTGTAATGGCTCCATTCATGGCCTCTTGCTCAGGCATGAAGGCCAAGGGCAGAAGTTGGCTGACAGCCACTAACGAGTCATCTACTGGTAGTTGGGATGCAGTTAAATGCCTCTTCCGTTGGTGGTGCTTTGTGGTGGGCATTAACATAAAACATAAAGATTGGCACTTTGCTGACTCCCATAGGACCATCAACATACCTCTTCTCCAGCCCCCTTTTCACTTATTTTCCTGTTTTGTCCCTTCCATCCGCCAACCAATCAGCCAAACCATTTTCCAGTGCCCAAAGGTCCACATTTTTTCTCCTCTGATCACTTCTCCCTTCATGATATCCATTGAGAGAATGTCCTTTCACCATTGTCTTTCATAGCCCTGAGTATGGCTGTAGAGCAGCACAGTCCATTTTTCACTTGTATCTGTGAACCAGGACCCAAATTTACCTACCATGAAGTTATTGATGCAAGGAGAAATTTA